CGATTACGTACTTTACATGCGACGGAACAACACATCAGTGCTCGCCATGTTTGGATCCGTCCGACTACATGTCACTGAGTGTCTGCACATGCAATGTGCATAAGAGACACTCACATGACAACATCGACGATCAATTTACATGCGACGCAACAACACATCAGCGCTCGCCATGTTTGGATCCGTCCGACTGCTTGCCACTGAGTGTCTGCACGTGGAATGTGCATAAGAGACACTCACATGACAACATCGACGATCAATTTAACATGTCGACGCAACAACACATCAAAGATGTGTTTCCACCTACCCTGGAAATGTTGCGCCGTAAACACTGCTGGTGTTGGTCCTGCTGGAGTAGGACCTGCTGGAGTGAGAGGTTTCCCTGGTGTTGGTCCTTGCTAAAGAGTCAACTGTCGCCGTTGTCCTGGGTGCTGCACTGCTGGCGCGGGTAGTCTTGGAGTCTACGACATCGCCCGAGAAACGTTGCGCTGTATAAAACCCCGCTGGTGTTCGTCCTGCTGGAGTAGGGCCTACTGGAGTGACTGGTCTCCCTGGTGTTGGTCCTTGCTGAAGATGGCTCGGGTAGTCTTGTAGTCTGCGACATCACCTTTAAAACACAAACACAAACACGTCACGCAGAGATACCAACTATATTTTAACTACCCACTCGAATGTGCCAACACCATGAGGGCATCACCACTCCATGATCTAAGGGTACAAAGTACCGGAGGCTTTAGCACTCGAGTTTCCAACCCTCCTGACAAACAAAGAAACGCTTATCTGCCAAAGTCACACCCGGAACCAATTATTTCAAATGCAAATGTACCACGTGCAACACGCTCCCGCCAAAATGACAAAACGAGTTACCAAAACTCTGGAAAACTGAAAATCAAACAACGGAAACGACACCAAAACCGTTCCGCAGCCCAATGGAGTGGCCAAGAAACCCCCAGACTGTTGGACTCGTTAGGGGATGTCACCGTAGCCCGGGCCGAAGATCACGGCTGCAAAATGTGGTAGGTACCCGTTGCTGTACCGGGTACTGAGGTTGTGGGATCTGCTGCTGCCTTCCCACATCTTGACCGCTTGGGAAACGAGGTTGTTGTGCTGCTATAACTGCAAGGGCAAACGACATTGCTTATTAACCTGCAATTTCTTAACCCCGTGAAAACCTTTCACACTACTACCACACTACCCGCCCGAGCGCGCCTCCACCGCGAGGGCAACCCGCAACACGATCTTAATGGGCACGAAGCCGAAGGAACACCGCTCGGGAAACCTCCCCTGCTAATTTTACAAAATGGCTAAAACCACCCTCGAAAACTCAGAAAAGAAACCCTGAAAAAAACAAACTACTAATAATCAATTCTGGCTCAAACAGACACCCACGCATTCAAATGCAAATGACCCAGGTGCGAGACTGCCGCCAACATTCTTACAGACAACCCACACAAAAACTGTCGGAAAAGAAAAGCAAACCACGTCCTGTACTTCGCACTACCCAAACCTTCTCTTTCAGGAACTCAGGAACAGGCCTCTGCTTCTCTAACGTCAGCGACCAAAACCAGTCCGCCTGTACCGGGTAGGAGGTGTTTTCGAGGTGCGTCCGCTGGTCCTGCTGAAGTTACAGCTGTCGCCATTGTCCTGGATTCTACACAGCTGGTGCGGGAAGTCTACGAATCTGCGACGTTATCTTAAAAACAGAAACACATACACGTCAAACAGACACCACATATCTCTTTTTCTACCCACTTAAAAGTTCAAGAGTGCAGCAAAGAAAAAACAACATTCATCTGCCAAGCTCACTTCCCAAAACCAGTTAGTAACAAATGCAATACCACGTGCAACGCATTCCCTCCAAAAACAAAATGATACCAACTCGGGAAAACAAACAAAAACCCGTGGACACAAAACGACAGCAAAAACCGTTCTGCACTCCTCCAAACCGAAGGAGTCGTCGTGGAAGCCTCCAAACTGCTGGACTCGCCAGGAAGACACCGACACCCAAACCGAAGACCATTGCTGCAAAACGTGGGAGGGCTGGGAGGGCACGCCCGGCACTAGCACGTCGCTCCAAGCTGGCGTAGCGGAGGCTTCCAATGATCGCAATGGTGATTAGCCTGGCTGGCATTCATATTTAAAGGGGTAATGACGTCATGCAGGATTTAACCAATCACAGCGCAGTGTAAATAGCTCCAACAACAAAGATTTGAACTAGCCTCGGTTCGAGAAATAGATAGGTGAATGAAGGGATGTAGAAAGGAGAGAGCGAAAGGAGGAAATAAAGGGGGTGGAGTGAGGGAGGAAGGGAATCGATAGACATAAAAGAAATATAATAAAGAGAAACACAGAAGGTGTTTTACGTCACTGACATTTTATTCCTATTCTTTAGAAGGTTAAGATGAACGTACTTGGAAAAAGGCATTAACAACAGCTGACGTTTAAAATCAATCTAGTTTTCCCGCATTGGAAATGTTCCAGGTAACATCAGATTCTATAGCCTTTAGCATTATCCGTTTGTGACTAATTTGGGTCCATTTGGAACCGATGCGTGTGTTTGAAAGTGCCGTTTAGTTATTTTTTACAGGAAAAGGTTACTGAGTTTGTTTCGTACAAACGTCTTACAAAACTTACAACGCCTTTCAACTTGTTTTATATCTTTTTTTCGAGATTTTCTTATTCCTATGAACAATATTCGTGTGTTCCGGAAGGGTCTGAAGGGAGAATAATAAGAAATTATTTTCCTTATTATACTTTTACATTGATTTTGATCCTTTTTTCTATGAAATTTATTTTTTGTTTGTTTAATTATAGCAACACGTTATTCTATGGGAAAGTAACCTGGAAGAATATAGCTTTTTTGGTTCAAATTGTGGTTTTCCGAATTTTGATTTGTTTGGTAAAAGACTCATTTTCTGATTTTGCAACAGCACGGTTTGTAATATGTTTGCGGTGTAGATATTAATATACGTTACTGTCCCTTTCTGTTGTATGCATTTTTATTAACTTGTTGGGGGGCACATGTATATCACATTGAATTATAACTATAATTTTTATGGCTACGATAAACCCATTATCAATCCCTAACGTTAACATATACTAGCCGGCTTTATTAAGTGTGAGGTTTTTTAGTAATCTTGTAACACGTGGCACGTGTATATATATAATGACTCCGTGTGCAGTGGTCGATTTATTATTATAATTAGTTGGTGTTACTGTACTTGATTAATAATTAGTACCATGTTTTGTATATAAGAATGATATTAGACAACGTGTATTAGACACAAGACACGGAAAAAAAATAAGTACTTTGTCGGTCTGGTTTGTTACCCCCGAGAAGGCGACTCCCTTCTGCGGAAGGCCCTTCCACAGAACCGGGTTATGTTATGCCTAGGTCACATTTCCAAACAGGGACCCGGCCGGGCTGTTTGTATGAACAAAATATTAACAATTCATATCAAGAATATACAAAAATAGTGTCCATGATTATTATTAAAGGCTTTTCTGTTTTTGTTTCCCTTTATATCGTGCTTTTCGTTCCCAAATGCTTCCCGGCCATGCCCAATGTGGGAATTGTGACCTCCGGTTGATGCGCTTAATATGTTTTATTTTTTTTTTGTATCTTTGCTTTCTATTCTCGAAACAAAATATTAGTAAGGCTTTTGGGTATCCCCGCATGGCTGGCAATGGGTTATGATTTGGGCTGATTTTAAAGAATATGCCGATTTATACCGGCCATGATTCAGACAAGGAGTCAAACATAGTGTTGTCTGTCCCGATAAGGCCATGTTGATTTGATTATATGGATGACATCCTCCGGGAACCCCAAAACTGGTGCGCGCGTGCGAATAAAAAGAAAGTTTTGCAAAAAAAAAGTTGTTTTCATTATGAAATCTACGTGGTTTTGAAGGTTTAACAAATGGCACAGAGTATGGTTTGGTGAATAATCTAGTCTTTAAGTTCATTTCTTTACAATTTAGTCTTTTTTCGATTGATTTTGGCATTCTACGACATTGGTATAGTTTTTAATTTTGTAACTTACGGCATATTTTTGCTCATTTTGCAACCGTTTTGTACGATTTACAGTATGGTTTAAAACTTTTTTTTTGGAAACGGCCGAAAATTCATGCGCGCGCGGATGTCATCCATATAATCAAATCAACATGGCCTAATTAAAAAAAAGACTAGGCTTTCATAAAACGCAGGCGTGCGAAGGGGTCTCTGACCTGACAGCTGATATTGAAGAACTTTATTGACACAACAAAAGTACAGCGACTTTCGTAAGGTCTAAGACATGTAGATATACAGACGAATATATATGGGTACAACTAAAATATCCTACGTACAAAACAATAGATGTGTCAACTAATACTACTTGTTCTAAGGTCTAAACATTCTTTGATACATTTACCTATTTGTACACAGTAAGGGTTATTACCTTTTAGGATGAACTTAAATTTATCTATAGCATGAAATGTAATAAATTCTGTTGAGCAGGCGGAGAGAAGGTACTGTGGACCATTAACAACTTTCAGGAAGGGGAAGGGTACCCTTTATTTTGAATTCTGATTGCGGCATCGCCCATCGTTTTCTAGCGGTGTTACTCCTAACATTGCTGTTTGTTTCATATCTGATAGTTCCATCTGTCGTTGTGATTATCATATATACATTAGTTATATAGTATTACTTTAAGGGGTTTGAAATCTTTTATGTCTTGTTTTTTATAATTTTTCAATATTGAATCAGACTTCATACCTACACCCATTGACTTGTAGATTTGCTTCACAATACTACGTTTGGTTGTAATCTATGTTTTATACTCAATAAAACAGCATTATTGAAGTGTCGATGATTTGGGATGTGGAGATTTCGTGTGTTCTATAAGATGAAAAGTTATTAAGTTGTACCACATTTGTAGAATGATTGTGAATATCACGTCTTCAAGATGCCAACCCTGAGACCAGAATGTAAGTTTGAACAACTCAGTATTTGTTTGGTGGGTGTGGCTCTCCCCAAACACGGGACTTTCATTTAACGTCCTATCCAAGGGGCATCCTAGGTACTTAAATCCACCTGAGTTAAGTGAGAAAAGTCGTGTAAATTGCCTTTTTCAAGGGCATTAGATTGGTGACAGGTGCATGATTTTAACCCTGGACCTTTTGGCTCCGAGCCGAACTCGCTACCGTTACGCCACACGACCCCGTTTGTACAAATGTTATCCTTTGTACTAATTATTTCACTCCATACTTCAGTATGGAGTGAAATACTGTTTTTACTGATGATTCTTCTCCTCCTCCTCCTCCTCCTTCTCCTCCTCCTGCCACTTCTTTAAATTGATTCAACTCCTTCATTTTTGGGAGAAATTACCTGGAATTTCGTATAGAGGTAGAGTGGGTAAATACCCCTAGGCGTTTTTTAAATTTTTTTGATACAAGCTTTTACAATCGTTTTATTTGCTATTTTAACGGTCCCCATAGGAAAGTACTGTGGGGGCGTACGCGCGTGACGTAATAAGAAAGGAATTCGGCGGCATGCCCATATATGGGCATGCAAGCATGAACCTAACGCAGACCAATCTATTCTTCTTGCTGATTGGCTGTTGGATTTGATTGGATTAACTCAATTAACACCTGTTCAAAGCCATTCCATTTTGACAATATGAACTCAAGTGTTTTGGTAGGTACAGCACAGGCCACGAAATACGCATCAATTTTCGAGGGACGTTCTGCGGGAGAGTGCAGGACGCTGTGCGGGACTTCCCTCGGGAGAGTGCGGGACGTCCTCCGGGAGAGTGCGATACGTTCTGCGGGAGAATGCGGTACGTCCAGCGGGAGAGTGCGGTACGTTCTGCGGGAGCCAGACATTTTGCTCTTCTCTGTTGGAACAACGCAAGTTGGAGGTCAATGACCTGTGCCCGGCGTGTAAACAAAAAAGTTACGCGGTACGTAATGTGTATCGTCGGCGCGCGCGCCACGGTATCAACAATTTTCCGCAATCTTTACCAACTAGTATTATCTAGGTTCTGTTATCGATCTCCGAAGAATCACCAAAATTGTAGAGTGGACAGGCGTTCGTTTGTTGTTGTTGAGAACATCGCGAGACGGTTTCCTGGCGAGCGTCGAGGGCTTGCATGCCCAACTGTTGTCGAAGATTGGACAGGGAGCGGCTGTAATATCAAAGGAGCCGGCGGCTTCTGCTAGCCGGGTTGATAGTTAAGTAATATCAAGGTGGTTCAAAAGCAAACCTGATAAAGAAGGAAACCCCGTAGTTAATAGTTGAAAGTCTTGGTGCCTTGAAGCGATCGATACTGCCATGCTGTTTACTTTATATGACATACAATGCAGTGAGTGATGTGTATCGCACCGAGTTAGCTCGGTTGGTAACGCGCAAGGTGGCAATCCCAGAAATTGTGAGTTCGAACCCCAGTGCATCGGATATTAACATTTTTAACAATTTTATCATTTTTAACAATTTTATCAGTTTTAACAATTTTATCAGTTTTAACAATTTTAACAATTCTGCATTTTAACAATTTCAACATTTTTATTTCCTTTTCGTTGTTTTGCTTTTAACATTCAAAAACTGATTGTTCTTACTCAAGAATGTCAATAACTTAGAATGTTAGTCTTTTGTATTTTTCAACATAAAAACTAAAATCACTTTGATGTTGTCACAAAAGTATGGAGCTGACAATAGAGAAGGAGTACGGCACTGTGCCAGTGTGAAGAATCTACAGAGGTATTACCAGTCACTAGTAGCAAGAGATAGACCACATTGAATGATGACGATGAGGACGAATCATATGAAGTACGATCACAGCTAGTACAGAAATTCTACTGCTTTACTTTACTTTACTTTCTTTCACTCTGTACATGCAATTAGCTCACTGGCATGATTTTAAAAATAAAGGTTATGATAATATATATATCATATTATATGTATAGCTTATTCAATGTATGGCTTCATAGTTTATGTGATTGTTAATAATTAAGGCCATGTTGATTTGATTGTATGGATGGCATCTGTGCGCGCATCGGTTTTCGTTAATTTAAAGCTAAGTTTACGACAATGATACAAAACATCTGGAAACTAAGCAAACATACTCTGTAAATTTATTACTGTAATTCCCAATTTTTTTTCACTGTACCGCAACGTAACGCAAGCGGGAGGTCTATGTTCACGGTT